GCCCAGTGGATAGTCCATCAGGTACTTCAGATAGATCTGCGGTCACAGCAGAGGACAGACATTAGTCTGACGATAGTTCTGACAAGCATAAACCTGGATGACGATGAAGACTGCAATATCCCGACTGACCTGTCTGCAGCGCATGCGGACCTGTTCATTTGACCCGTCGATGGCAAACTTGGCCACTTTTTTCATAACATCCTCCATCTCTGGCACCACCAGTTTCCTGGAGAGGATCGCCTGCAAGTCAAACAAACCCATTCATTGCCATGCTGTTTCCATGATTACTGCAGGAGCATTTCTAAAAACCTTTTTGATTAACACTGATTCACTAATGAATCATCGGGCTGACTCGTTGAAAAAAAGAACTCGCAAATTTTACTCTACAGCAAGAGCAATATCTAGCCAATGAAATACTACTAGAAGAGCATTACCAGTGTTATTTTAGTATCACTGATAGACTATTACACTTTATTATTTTGAATTCTAATTTTATTTGTATATTTTCACAGATTTCATTTATTTTCGGCTAAAGTTTTAGTAATTTTGTTGTGTTTTTGTCATTTTTACTAGTTTGTTTTTAAAGTATGTCTATGTAATTTTTATTAAATGTTATTTTTTTAGTTTTAGTTTATTTAGTTGTCGTTATTTTAGTACTTCAACTTTAACCAAATAAAAATGAAACAAAAATGGGCAAAATTGTTATTTAAATATAATTGAGATATTAGTTTTTATTCGTATTTTAAATTAGTTTTTTTTTTTTTTTACATTTTAATTAGTTTTAGTAATTTAGTTGTGTTTTTGCCATGTTTGAGATTTTTTTTATATGTCTATATAGTTTTTAATAATTTGACAATATAATATACCATTTTTATAATAAAATCATTTATTTTAATAATTTTGTTTTAGTTATATCATGACATCAAGTTAAACTAAATAAAAATAAGAAATGTTGCCTTGGCAACTAAATGAAAAATGTTTAAGTTTTGTTTCATATTTTATTTCAGTTAAAGTTTATTTCTAGAAATAGACATGCTTTTATGGTTTTAGTTTCAGTTAGATTGGCAACTAGCTGAAATAATTAGCTTAAATAAGTG